AAGCCTCTGTATTTACATTCATAAAGCCATCTCTTGACTGTAGATGTTGACAATGACATGCTTACCACCTCAAGAGCGTCCTTGACCTGGCTAGATGTTGTGAAAGGGTTCCTCTTCGCCATGAGAATTCTGTGGTCATCCACTTTAGTTGTCTTCCATGGTCCTCCAGGCCTTTTGCTATTGCTGAGCTTGCCAGTTAATTCCTTCTTTTTCAGGATGTTCCAAACTGTTGTATTGGCCACTCCCAATGTTTTTGCTCTCTCTCTGATGGTTTTGTTTTCTCAGCCTAATGATGGCCTCCTTCACTCGCATGGACACCTCTTTGGAGAGTTCCAGTGAACAGCTACCAAATGCAAATGTAACACTGAACCACCTCCAGGCCTTTTATCTGCTTGATTGGTCATGGGGTACCCAGGAAACAGGCTACACCTGGCCATGCAGCTGTTTGTCAGCCATTCATTTCATTACTTATGAGCCACCAATGATTGGGGGGGGGGTGTATGCCACTGGCTGTACTTGTTGAATGGTTAGTGCCCCACTTTTGTCAAACCCCTTGAATTACAGCTGAAAGTCCTGACTTCACTCCCATCTCAGTGTGTTTCCTTTCAGTGTGGTGTACAGAGGCCAAATGCCAAAATAGCTATCCTTGTTTCTGGTCACCCCTTGAATTACAGCTGAAAGTCCTGACTTCACTCCCATCTCAGTGTGTTTCCTTTCAGTGTGGTGTACAGAGGCCAAATGCCAAAATAGCTATCCTTGTTTCTGGTCCTGACTGTATGTTCTAGTTGAACATCAATTAGTGTGATTTTAAATAACCTTCAGATACTTGAAGGTATTTGGGCTTCTTGACTTTTCTTTTCAATTTATTTTTCAGTACTCCATTCATTTTTGAGAAATTTCCCCTTCTAAATAACCCTTCTATAATTAAATTTGGATCCTGCTGGCAGATTCCCATTTGTATGTATACTAAATTTAATGCCATTATACTAACTGTTTCCTACTGGCTAGAATATAAATACTGTTTCAGTTTGTGATTTTGCAGTGAAGATTACTTTCATCACATTATTTTTCAGAGAACAGTAAGAAAAAGTGACACAAGTTCTGAGAAGGTAGAGAGACATACCTTAAGGGCAACTAAGGGGACAACAAGCACATGTTTTTCAGTAGACAAATAATTTATGCATTTATTGTGTGATGAGGGAGATGTGTAAGGGGGAATTTCTATCAATAGAAATGGTAAACATATTTTCACTT